CGAAATCCTGACTGAAATTCCTGCTTCATAAATATAAGGCTGAACTCAAAAAAAAAAAGTGAAAAAGTCTTTAAATGGGAAGCACTTACCAGCATACTTCCTAGATAAAACCAATGCCCAAACAAGTAAAATGAAAATGCCTTCCCCGATGTGTTTGGTGGAATTGCTTCAAACAGAACACTGTACTTGAAAATAGCAAAACACCTATCTTGTGACCAGGTTTCACTTTTGGCTTCCCTGGCTGCGTTATTAACACCAATATTCCAGATTCCATTTCAGAGGAACCATGCTACTAAACAATAGTTTTTATCAGTAACAGTACTAACTAAAATTTGACTCTAGGTTAGCAGTCAAATGTGATTTTTTTTAAGTGTTCAGATTCACATGTTTGAATTTTGGACATCTAAGCTTAAGATACATTATATATAGGCTTCGGGGCTGGAAGGATAAATTAATTGTTATTTCCAGAGTTGTTACATAGTTTTTCTAAATTCCTATCCATTGTCCATAAATGAAATCCCCTAAATTTGAAACACCAGTCACAAGGAAAAGGCTGCTATCTGTGATACTAACAAAAATTGTGCAGAGGAAGCATCTTTTTAATTCCCATTAGTGGAAATTTTACAATAGAAAGTAAAATTGCCTATAAAACTAATGAAAGAAACACTAGAGTATATATTTTATACTATTATAGTTATTTTTCATAAGGTAGTGTAATTTTCCCTATACCTAATTTATTAATATCCTAAAATTAATTTGCAGAGGAACTCACATGTATCATATTGAAGTTTTATTGTCTTGGGGTTTTTGTAGTACTGAGTTTTGAACTCAGATGATTCTCCTACTTCCACCTCCTGCATAGCTGGGTTTATAAGCATGGGCCACCAGGCCCTGCTTATTTTTTATATTAAATCTTGCTATTTTTTTTTTTGCACTGACTGGCTTGGAACTACAATGTTCCCATCTCTGCCTCCTGCATAGCTGGGATTGCAGTTATGCACCACCATGCCAAGCCCCAGCCCCATATTAAAGTTAATTAATCATATTCATTTACAGAAGTTCAGAAAGTTATGAATTTGCCAGTGGTTCCTTACTTCTGTCCCTACCATTTTGTATAGCAAAACTTTGTTCTTTGAAAAACTCCTTACATACTCATTTGATTAGACTTATGCCAAGGTCAGTATGTCTTTAAATCAGTCAAGTCTTCATAGTAAATACTTGAGTAAAATGCACTCTTCACCGGCTAAGACCCTCCTTTCACTCAGATGAAGCTTCACTTTCAAACAGCACATTCATCACTAAAAGACTAGAAGAAAAACTAGGCTAGTCAAAAGGTCCTTATTTTATCTTCATAACTGTATGGCTGCATGTGAGGGCTGGAAAAAATATCTGTAAAAACTCTATAATTAATGAAAAAGGAGATGGCAGCACCAATTGTATGGCTTGCTGACTGTAAAGCTCTTTAATCTTTCTGAAGCATGTTTAATTTCAGAAGTTTAAGTAGCCTTAATTCCTAATATTAAAAATTTAAATTCCTAATGCTTATTTTTATTAAATGCCACAAACCTATAAAGGTTAGCAAGTTCCATTTCTATTTAAAAGTTAATGAAGAGAGAGAACATGTGCTTTACCACTTGAAGAAATTAGGGCACAGTCAGTGAACCCAAGAGATGAGAGCTGATATCAAACTCCAATTGAAAACATTATCTTTCAAAATAACTTTGTCTTCTAAATCATTCATATGTTTTTTTCCTTTCTAAAAATACTAAATTGCAAATTCTAAGTGTAGAAACTGTAAGGAACTGCTGAACAAAGACCATGCCATGTGTAGAAAAGAAAGATTTATTGGAAGCACACACTGCCAGGCTGTCTCCCTCAGGTTCAGAGTGCAGCAGCTCAGCTGGAATGGGTAGTGGGCTTTATAGGAGGGGCCGCACCATGAGGGAGGGAGGGTGTTCCTCCTAGAGAACTGCCGGGCTGCTGGTCCCTGATTATCTGTGATCACCAGATGGAATGGATGGACATGCATAGCTAAGCTAGTTGAGAAGCGGTAAGTTCCTGCAGCTTTGCAAGCAGGGAAACAATCGGGGGAGTTTTGCAAGCAGTCACAAATCAGGGGGGTCTTGTTTTGGTGTTAGCCTCTGGACTCCCCACCCGCCCCAAGAATGTCAGGAACCTAACATTCCAGCCTTTTGTTGGTATTATGAGTACCAATTGATCTATCTGCTTCCTGCTGAGTGGGGGGCATTGTAAAAAGGAGGAGGATCTGGCTGGAATTTGGAAATTTGTGAGGTCCCTGGGAGTGGAGGTAGATGGTTTCTCTTAGGCTTCATGTGCAGACAAAGCCAGTTGTTGGTAGGCTGGAAAAGGTTGTAGTAGCATCTGGTAGAAAGTCTGTCTGCTGAGCTGCCCTAGGTGATCCTGGAGGCATCTAAAAAGGCAAGGAATGATAAGGAGTAGGGAGAAAATGGCTGCCAGAGGTCACAACTGACAGAGGCCTTCAATATATCAAAGGTAAGGAAGATAGAACATTGGCATCCCTTAGTTGGACAGAAGGTGGAGTTAAGCAGAGTATGTGGGTAAAATCGACCTGCCATTCTTCTCCAGGTATAGAGTCCTGGAAGACTGGTGAGCATAAAAGGTTGGGGGTGGTGGGTTTTTATCATTGGCCATGGATTCCCAGGCTTTTTTAGTTGAACTGGTTTGGTTTGCACCTTTATTGGGGAAGAGAAACAATCTTGAGAGCATTTTGCTCATCAGCCCTATGGCAAAACTGTCCAGGTTAGTTGCTTTAAGGGTTTGTGGGATCTTCAAAGCAAACAGGGGCTGACTGTCAGGATGCAGGTTAAATGTAACCCTTTTGGATAAAAGAGAGCTTTATCTCATCATTTTACATAAGCTGACACGCTTAACTTTGTAAATGTTTGTACCATACTTAGATAAAGTGTAGACACAGGACACAGTTATAAGGTGGTCATTTAAGACACGTGAGCAAATACATAAATGGACTCTGATTTAGTAGTACTTAAAGTTTGATGAGATCAACAGAAAACACAAGTAGTTTCTTTGATAAAATCTTTCCCTATAACAGTTTTCTGTAGATGTTACTCAGAGCAGAACAATATTAAGATAACTTTGTTATTCTATAGACATAGAGAATTTGATTTTATTTTGACATGGCCTAAAAATCTTTTAGGCAACTCTTAGGTTATAGTCAACTTTAACTTTATTATACATTGAAGCTTTTTATATACTTTTAAAACTTACTTAGACCTTTATATAACATACTAAACCCTTTGATGGTTTGTCTTTATCCCTCCTATTTGAAACAATCTTTAGGACAAACCCTTCTTTACAAAATCCTTTCTCATCCAAAGAAACATTCCTTTTTTCCTTTAACTTCTCAAAAAATACACTCAATACCTATCAAAAGAATTTTAAATTTAAATTAAAAAAAATTTTTTAGGGCCTTGCTGTACTACCTGGAAATAGTTTAGCAGTTTGACTTTGGTCCTTTTTAGCCTTTCCACTATGAGATGGATTAAGTGGCACTTCCGCCACATTAGCAATGTTGGGGAATTGAACCCAGGGCCTTGCACATGCTGGGCAGACACTCTCCCACTGAGCTACGTCCTTAGCCCCCAATTTTTTTTTTTTTTTTTTTTGGCTGGTGGAGGAGACCGTCCTCCCCCACCATGGAGATCTGTGAAGGATAAAGCTTATCCAAGAAGTCAGGTAGCACCAAGTAGGTGATTGAGGCCTACCTGCTACTTGGACGGTTACCCTGGGCTCCTCCAAAGTGATCTTGAAGGGAGCCGAGGTCCCAGGGCCACATCAGTCTTCTGCCGCCAGGCCCAAGAGGTCTGTGAGGCCTTTAGTCTGTTGGGAATGGGAGTGAAAGACTGACCTACCTTGTGGAGGCAAAGAGGGGCAGTTGATCCTCCAGTGTCCATTTTGACCACATTGTGGACAGGGTCCTGGGGATGGGCGAGGTAAAGGGCAATTTCTTGCCCAGTGTCCTGTCTGGTTGCACTTGAAGCAGGCCCCTAAAGGCGTACATTGTTGTCCAGCCCATCTCAAAGTCAGAGGAGGTGGCCTCAGGGCAGCACCAAGAGCTGGGCCTTTCGCTGGTCTCAGGCCTCATCTCAGTTATTAAATACCTTAAATGCCATTTTCACAAGATCTCCTTGAGGGGTTTGAGGGCCACCCTCTGCCTGTTTAAGTTATTTTCAAATATCAGGGGCAGACTGGGAAATAAAGTGGGAATTGAGAATAATTATTCCATCCTTGAAAGATGGGTCTAGCTTAGTATAGCTCGTTAAGGCTTCAGTAAGTTGCCCTAAGAAGTCAGCAGGGTTTTCAGTTGGGCATTGGATAATTTCTCTAAGTTTACCCTATGGGAAGCAGTCTGTAGCCCCGCAATGAGGCAGGTGACCATATATTTCCATGCAGCTGGCCTGGTGGGGTCTTGATAGTCCCAATATGTGTCCTCACATGGCACAGCCGTAGAGCCCACTGGAAGAATGAGATCAGTGCCTGGGCTGCCAACCAAACTCTTTCCTTTTCCTTTAAAGTGGAGGAAAGAATAACATATATCATGCCAAGTCATATCATATGCTTGGGTTAGGTATTTGAAATCTTTAATATAGGAGGCTGAGTCATTAGAGAAGGAGCCAAGTCTCTTTTTCAATTTGAGAGAAGTCAGTCATGGAAAATAGCACATGGATTCTGATAATGCCGTCAGCTCCTGCTACCTCCCAGAGTGGGTAGAGATGGGCTGGGCGTGTTTGGGAGGAGGTATGGGAGCAGGTGTGGGATGCAGGTGGGGAGGAGAAGGGTGAGGGTGTAGCAGGGGCTGAGGGCTATGTTGGTGGTGTTGGTCCCTGAAGAGCCGATGGCTGAGGGTCAATAGTGACTACTGTGAAGGGGAATATGGTGGCAGATGTTGAGGAGAGCAAGCAGGGGCTGAAGAAGAGGTGTTTGAGCCATGGGAGAATGGGATGGGAGAAGACATTGGTGTAGAGGAGTTGGGAGATGGGCAGACAGAGCCCGTGAGGTCACAAGTAAGGGAAGAATCTCTGGGACAGGGGCTAGGAAGAGTTTTAGGTTTTTAAGGGGGGTTGGCAAGGAGGATCTGAACGGCATTACAAGATTGGAACAGGGAGGGTCGACAGTGGAGAGAGACAGAAGCTTGGACGTACGGAATTTTGGACCACTTGCCATTGCGATGGCAGAAATTGTCAAGATCTATAAGTGTGTGAAAATCAAAAGTACCGTTTTCAGGCCATTGGGATTGATTGTCTAGCTTGTACTGAGGCCAAATGGTGTTGCAGTAATAAATCAGTCACTTAGATTTTTATATCCTGTTGGAGACCAAGGTTCCTAGGGGAGCAGAGAAGGCATCCTAGGGACATGGATGCATCTAGTTTAGAGTGTGTGGTCCCCATAATGTAGTTGGAAGAAAAGAGAGAGAGAGAGAGAGAGAGAATGAGAGAGTGAGGTATGTGCCTCCAAAGAGTTTACTCTTCAGGCCAATATAGATGTAGGTCAAGATCTAGCCTTCCTTATGTGACTCAGGCAAAGAGAGCAGAATCATCCAGTTGCCGTTTGGTCAAAGTAAACTAGAGGGGCTGTTGAGCTCTTACCCTAGATGGAGGAAAAGAAAACAAGGAGTGAGAGCAACAGAGAAAGAGAGAAAGGCAGAGAAAGAGAGAGTGAGTGGGAGGGGGATGGGTTCCCAAGGGCAGGCATCCCCGGACCTTGGTCACCATCCACAGAGAATGCCCAACTGGTTAGCCAGACGTCCCCATGCTAAGCAGAGGGGCACCCCAGTGGGTGTAGGAGGCATACCTGGCATAGCACTATGACTTCCAGGACCGAGAGAGAGCAGGCAGCCCCAAGAAGGGTGACACTTACTGAGTCCAAGGAGAAGAGTAGGTCAGGTGGAGAGCAGTGGAAGAGAGGCTAATGATGGATGGGAGAGCCAGCAAGGCAGTAAGATCTGAGATCCACAGTCCTTAGACATGTGGGGTCAATTCAGCAGTCTGGGTCTGGGAGAGGGCAGGACATGAAAGCCAAGGGAGCAGCCCCGGGCTGGAGCATCTTGTTAACCTGTCCAGGTTTCAGCACCAGATGTAAGGAACTGCCAAACAAAGACCATGCCATGTGTAGAAAAGAAAGATTTATTGGAAGCACAGACTGTCAGGGTGCCTCCCTCGGGTTCAGAGTGCAGCAGCTCAGCTGGAATGGGTAGTGGACTTTATAGGAGGGGCCGCACCATGAGGGAGGGAGGGTGTTCCTCCCAGAGAACTGCCGGGCTGCTGGTCCCCGATTATCTGTGATCACCAGATGGAATGGGTGGACATGCATAGCTAGTTGAGAAGCGGTAAGTTCCTGCAGCTTTGCAAGCAGGGAAACAATCAGGGGAGTTTTGCAAGCAGTCATAAATCAGGGGGGTCTGGTTTCGGTGTTAGCCTCTAGATTCCCTGCCTGCCCCAAGAATGCCAGGGACCTAACAGAAACCTACAATGAAACTGAGAACATAGATAAATGAGATAATAATTAGGCCCAACTTTGTAAATGAGCCTATAAACAAAAATTTTACTTGAATACCCATATTTTTAGCAAACTGCATTTCTTAAATTCTCAAGATATGTCACATAAGTCATTAGGAGTGGCTAGTAGTGCTCAATAAATTTATGTTTTATTGGTTGGTATTGCATTGTCTGTTATGTTGGGAAGAATCTTTCTCCCTACTAAATAGCATAGAGAATAACTGTTAATGTCCCTTCGTCTGAATCATTCTTATTAGCATATAACAAGTACATAGACAGTATGGTATCTGCCTAGCAAAGTGGGGTCCTGACTTGAAACCTCAAATACTGCCAAAAAAAAAAAAATCTATAAACCAAGGTCCTAGTTTGACAGTTTGGAGTTGATTTAGTAATTAAGACACATTGTTAATTTAATTTCCTATCTAAGAAAACATTAAGTTACTCTTTATTCATCTCTGAAAACCTAATTTCCACTCAGCCATTTTATATAACATATAATAAACATCTACTATATATATTTAACCAGTTTCTATAATGTATACTAAGTTACAGTACAGTTTCTCATATTACAGAGTTGTAATTAACAGTAGTTACACTTGAAGGAAAGTGAAAAGTGCTCAAAGGAAGTTTTTTTAACGATATGTAGTACTCTCATAAGGAAAAAAAAATCTACCTCATCTTTTCCTATACATTTGATCCAGGAACTTACAGTAAAACAAAAATATAATAATAATAATGCTTTCCTATAGATATTAAGTAATAAAGAAGCAAACCTTAAGCGTGAGAAACACAATACACTACTATAGTGAAATAGTTTGCTTTCCCCTCATGTGCTATTGAGACTGAAGCTATTTTAGACTGGCTATTGTTTTTCTATATAATATTTTCAATATTTTTGTTCTTTGTACATTTTTTTTCAGTCAAGAGACTCCATCCCATTAAATGACCTAAAGTCAGAAGTATCACCCCGGATTTCAGCAGAGGACCTGATTGACCTGTGTGAGCTCACAGTGACAGGCCACTTCAAAACACCCACCAAGAAAACAAAGTCCAGTAAACCAAAGCTCCTGGTAGTTGACATCCGGAATAGTGAAGAGTATCCTTTGCGTGTGTGTTTTTAAAGAGTGGTAATATGCCTCATTCAAATTTTTTCCTTTCTATCAAAGGTTGTGTGGTAAAAACAATGAACATTTCTGGGATTTCTCTGAATTCAAATAGCTAAATAGCTCTCAAACTGAATGGCCCTGCATGAAGTTAAGATAACATTAAATACCAGAGAGCTAAAAATGTTTTTAAAACACTACCAGAAATTGGAATATTTTCTTGCTTTTGTTTTTTGGGGGGCGTGTGTGTGTGTGTGTGTTCCTCTGATGTATATTGTGGTTCCGTAGCTGGAAATTTAAGAAACATAAAGAGTAAGTAAATACCTCAGAGCCTAGAGAAAAACTTTTCCAGACCTCAACATTGAACTTATATTTATTTCAATTTTAAAAATACTGGCTTACAGAAAACATGTACTTTCACTGAGCACAAAGCAAAAGAATATAACTTCCGGTGATCTTGTTTGGCATCAAAGTATGAATAATTATGAAATAATGACAGTTTACCTTTCTCCTTAAGTTTCCATCTTGTCAGATTCCCATGAAGCATGCCTAGATGTTCTCTATAATCTAGGTCATTGACTTTCACACCTTTTTTAATAAAACAACTCTTCCTTAAGTAAAATCTTTCTTAGAAACTGAAGAGTTTTGTAATTTTCTTCATAAATTCACATTTATAGCATTTACTAAGTATGAATGCTATGAGGGTTAGCAGTTTAATGGTTTCTTATGTGCTAAAATTGGCATATAAAGTTTTTACATGCATATTTTCAATCTCAGTTTTTGAAATGAGATTCAAATTATACATTTACAGAACTGTTTAAACAATCCATGAAATCTCAGGTTACTAACAAATACAATTTAAGATCCCACAATTTTAAGTGATACATGTCAATCTTTTTGTGAAAAGTAGCTACTTTCTATTTTCCCTAGGTTATGAGATGCCTGATTTGGAGAGTATATAAATGTGATGTCCTTGGTTGTTAGGACTTCAGGGACACTGGAAGTTCATTGGCAGGCTTCTTGTGGAGACTCCCAAAGAGGCATTAAATTCCAGTGGGCTATTTGAGGACCCCTTTTCTAGAAGTTCTTCTCTAATCCTTTAAGAGTTAAAAATCCATTTACTGTTTTTAATATTTTAGTTTACTATTTCAGGAGACTAAATTTCTAAAATTAGGTTTTATTTCATTCTTTTTACCTATGTAAAATAATTGAAATGATTGTGAAAGTGAGGGAAGCAATCTAATTCTTAGGTAAAATAAGCTGCTTTCTATTGATGACTTTAAGGGACTACTTTACCACTCCCAGAGCTCTCTCATGATCACTCCTGAAATTCTACTATTAGAGTTTCTGTAATTTAACTTGTAGCATAGATATGCCCAGTTAAAATACGAATACCCTGAAAGAGGTAATACCTTAATCTGGAATCTGTTTCTCGATTATACTTAAGAAGCACATTAGCATATCATTAGCATATCAGCAATTCTAGGGAATTACTCCTAACTTTGGTGTGGTCCACATGAGTAAGGTTTAGGGGGAAAGAAAGCTGAAAAAACAAAGACAGATTTCATCCACTTGACAATAAAAGCACAATCCCCAAACTTTAGAAGAAGGAGGAATCCTAGAAGTGGTCTACTCTAAACCCTATCAGCATTAGTGCCAAAGGGTCAGAGAAGCTAAACAGCAAAGTTTGCGTTGAAATTACATTTTACTTTAATTTGTTTTTATAAGAAAGAAACATGAAATGTTAATCTAAGTAAAGATTTAGTCAAATATTTTTTCCTTCAATATACTGTGGGAATTTTGGAGCAAACAATAATTACATATTACAAAGAAGTCATAGAAAATATTTCTTGTGTGGTGGCATAAATTTCACAAGTAATTGTTAATAGTTCCAAAGGTAATACACAGGCCAAACTGTTGTTTTAATAGTTACAAATAGTTAGAGTTTCAAATTTCCTGGAGTTCATATTAAGGGTGGTCTCAGTCATGCAAATGTGAGTCCAACTGATGGTATCTATAAACAGAAATAGTTTGAAGGAATGTTAATCTCCTTGAAGTCAAGGCTGACTTGAAGTCAAGGCTGAGTTTTTGCTTTGTTTGTAAAGCTCTTACCTTAAAAAAAATGTGCAAGTTTTTTTTTATTTAAAAAACACATAAACCTAACTTCATTATCAAGCCACACTCACTCTTAGTGAATGCTAGTATTATTCTTAATAGTGTATACTTAAGAATTAATTTCTAAAAACTTATCAAAGTAATTTAGAGATGCCTGTAGTCAAAGCAGAATAGATAATAACAAGAAGGTTCTGTAAGAGTTTGTTCATCCTACTTGGATTTTGATTCAATATACTTAAATTAAAACTTCCAGTCAGTTGGATTCCTACATCTGAATGGACCTATATAATGTGGGGGGTATACATAGCTACTGCTGAGGAATATCTCCACTGCCTGGATTAATAGCTGTGAGAGGTGCATTAGCAGTTGAGGCTATTTGCTCTGTTATCCCAGATCCTAGCTGGTCAGTCCTATTTAAGGTCTCCTTTGCCAGACAATGGGGATGCAGAGTTAAATGACAGTTCCTGCTCACCAGGAGCCTATAATCTCGTAGCTAAAATGTACACATTAAATAAACAATTGCAATTCATTGTGAAGTGGTCTATATCTGAGGCATACTCAAAATGTCATTAGAATGCAAAAATGGACATCTAAACCAGCTAATGCTGACTCAAAATGTAAGTCGAAGTTAGTCCTGTAAAGAGATGGAAGACATTTCAGAATGAAAACAAATAAACAAACAATATATACTATATGGGACACCAAGAGAAGGTAAGAAGGATACATTCAGGGAATTAAAAGAACTGTAGGTTGAGATGTCTGGAATATTGAGGGTTAGAAATGAGACTAGAGTAGGCAAAAATAGCTTCATAAAAAACAGTTTGAATTTTATTCTAAAAGCAGGAAAACAATTTTTAATCAGGTAAGTAGAATGCCCTAATTCACATTTCAAGGAAATGAATGATCTATGGAAGGGCTGGGGGTGTGGCACAGTGGTTACCACTTACCTAACATGTGCAACTCACTGAGTTTGACCCCCAGAACTGAAAACAAACCAAATTTAATACTGCTGTGTGGAGGTTGGGTGGGAAAGCAGATAATGGTGCAGATGAGGCCGCAAAGATAGAATCGTCCAGAAATTTGATTCCTTTTTTGGTTGCTGTCATACAGAGTGAGGTTTCTAGATTTTCCCTAAAACAAAGCAGTTTTACTGCATCTTTTAGGTCAGTACCTATGCTGGGGAAGATTCAGAGAAATTAGCTTTACTGCTCTTTTTCTTTTCTCAAAATGTGTCCTGACAAAGAGTAATTCTATATCATGGTGCTTGATAGCATTGCTACATGGAGGTGCCAGAGCACATTTGCTGCTGACACAAGTCACAATTCTGAAATTCATTTACTTAGTAATATATAAGCTATATTTAGGCACTATGATTAAGCATTATAAGACATTCAAAGATGAAGTAAATGCACATCCTATAAGTGGTTTAGAGGTTTTTGGACATCATATTCATTAATATGCTTAACTCAAGATCAGATTACTATCATGAGAGATATATAGATAATTTTCATTGGAAGGAAACTTTCATAGGTGAAATATTTGAAGAATGAATAATATTTGAACATACAAAATAAGAACTTGGTGTGGTGGTACATGCCTTTAATCCCAGCACTTGGGAGGCTGAAGCAGGAGGATTGTGGGCTCTAGGCCAATTGGAAGTATACAGAGTCCTGTCAAAAGACAGAGAGAAAGAGAGAGACAGAGAAAAGAAGGAAGAGGAGGGGGAAGGGATAAGAAGGAGGAAGGGAGGAAGAGAAAGGAAGGAAGAAGAACGAAGGAGGAAAAGGAAGAAACCAGGCAGAAAATATACTGGTAGCAATACATGATTCATTTTGGAATTGATGTAGTTAGGTCCTATTCATGAGAAATGAATTGAGAAATCTGGGCTTTGTCCTGTAGGCAGTCATGTAAGGTTTCTCAGCAGTAATATGGTAATCAGGACATTTTGTTTTTAGAATTTTAATTTGACAAGATTGTGAATAAAGTGGACTTCCAAGAAAAATACGAAAAGTTGTAGAAAACAGGTACTATAATAGTGTAAGCTCAACATAGTGTCTGAAATAGGTGAGCAGTCATGGAAACAGAGAGGAGAAAGTGAGAGCTTCTGAGAAGTAGAATGTTGATTGGACCACTGATGAGATGTGAAAATCAGTACTTTTTCTGATTTGTCCATTGGGCTACCAGATTTTGTGTAATATGAATTTTTTGATATAAGCACACTCCTGATGCTCTTTGGCAATGTCTAGCAAATAGAATGTTGAGCTGAGTGTGGTGTACTTTATTGGAGGGAGGGCACAGCTTATTGTAAGACAGGATTCTATGCATACTATAAGATCACCATATGCCAAAGAAAAATCATATAGTACTGGAATATATATCCTGTAGTGCAGTCAGAATAGTAAACAGCTCTATTCAAACACCTGGCCAGGTAACTGCTATAATAACTAGATGCATTCTTAACTACAGGATAAGTATCACTTACCCAACATACTTAGAACCAGAATTGTTTTAGATTTTAGAACATTTGCATATATATAATGAGATAACCTAAAAATACTACTCAAGTCTAAAAATGAAATTCATTTCACTTCGTATATAGCTTATACACATAACCTGATATATTTTTAATAATTTGGAACATGAAACAAAGTTTCATAGTATGAAATCTTCCACTTGTGTCATGTTGAAATTTTAAGATTTGGGCACATTTTGAATTGGACTAGGGATACTCAAGTTATTTCGTTATACATTTTAGAGGTTTTGCTTTAATTCCTGACTTCTTTAATCAATTTTATTCCTTCAAGTGTGTCATCAAGAATCCTAATTTCTTTTGAACACTGGAAGATTAAAAATTATTGTTTACTGATACCATTGCCCTTTCCACCAAAACCAAAAAGAAAATTGTGGTAGGCATTGTTGGAATTACACTGTCAAGATAATTTATGATTGAGGCTAATCACCACATGAATACTTTGGTTTTTATTTCATTTATAGTCTCTAAACTGAGTACTTTGAAGTTGGTGCTATTTTGTTTTGGTGGTGGTGGTGGTAGTGGTGGTTTGGGGTTTGGGTTTTTCTGTGCAGTACTGGGGATCCATCCCTGAGCTATATCCCCCTGTTAAGTTCTTCATTTGTAAAGTAACGTAGTAGTAACTATTGGATAGTACACTCTCTATGAAACCTCTTTGGATGTGAGTATCATTTACCCCAGATCTCTGTTCACTCTGATTTCTAGTGGCTTTTTTAAATTCAAAGGGTGCATGGAAACAATTTAAATTTTTGCCTAGAACATAAGGAAAGCAATGACATAATAGTCATAATCCTAAACTATGTACCGTTGCATGTTCATCTCCAATGCTGCCTTGATATGAAGAACCTGCATGTGCTCATCTTTCATGACAGGACAATGAAATAAAAGAGAAAGATCATTTTCACCATATTCTCTATCAGATTCTCTCCTTGCCAGATTTAGCCCAGGACTGATTACAGTTAACTCTGGTCACTTGAAGTGACCAAATATCAGACAAACTATCTTCTACTTCATTTTTGTTTTTTTGAGACAGAGTCTAGCTAGGTAGCCCAAGCTAGCTTGAACTCACTATGCCCAAGGCTGGCCTCCAATTTATTTTTTCTGCTTCTGTCTCCCAAGTGCTTAGATTACAAGCACTCACTGTTATATACATTTCACTTGTATTAATTAAACACAAAATATACGCAAATATTTGCTTTTCTTTCAAATAAAGAGCATACATAGTATTTCACCATGATTTTTCAGAACTTTAAAGGTAATAAAAGTATTCTACTACCTTTACAATGTAATCTAACTAACTTTAAGAGGTTCAGAAATTGCCTTAAGGAGTTTTACTCTATCTTAAAATGTCAATCACATGAGAATTTGCATTATAAGCAGTGAAATTTAAATAATTTCGAAGAATAAAAGATCCTTAAATAACCAAAATGGTTTTCTTCATTGTCCAACTTATTAAAATAAAACTGTACAGATATGTAACTAGGCCAATCTCATTCCCCTCTGCTGTTTGCCAATAATGCAGTTAAGAATAGATGATTTAGAGCTTTGACAACCCTGTCTGCAAGCATTCTTGCTTACTCAGTTTTTTGGTGCTAGAAGTTTCGAAACAAAGAGTATTCTGGATGAGTGTTCATAGATGTTTTTCCATGACTTTTTGATTAAATTAGATAAAGAATAAGGGAACTGGTTTAAGGCTCTCTTTCTTTTGTGTCTTGTGTTCCAAAGTATAAATGAAAAAGTTTGAAATATTTGTATTTTGGATAGTAACTTTCCTCTTCTCAAAGACTCTATTGCTACCATATTTTGTCAAGCATTTTAATATTTAATCTAGACTTTTTTAAAAAGATCAAACCATAAAGCATAACCAACTGAAAATTCTACCATAACAAGTTTATGGCATACTTCTGGTAACTAAAAGACAGTTTAGACAAGTTTTCTTTAAAAGAGCATAATAAATAGGTGGTAGTAAATCCATAAAATTATTCAGAGTTTATCCATCTATTAGTTTAGGTATTAGGTTTTGGACATTTATATACCAGTGGGTACTTTGTAAAGCCAAACATTCATAGAATTTATCTTTTAAGTAAATTTTCTAATACGTGGCTGAATAAATCCTATGTAAACGGCACTCGACTATGATTTTACATAGAAAAGCTTAACACATCCTGAACACTATCTTTTGTTTCTGACTTTCCAGGAAGATAATCAGATTGGCTCATTGGCTCACCCTGCATCAGATGTCTGCCTTTACCCTCCCACCTCCATTATCCTGCCCGCCATGGTTGTGGCAGGGTGATCTGATGCAAACATGATAGCCTAGACTCACCCTTTCGCAAGGGCAGTGACTGGGGCTCCTCCAAATAGGAAAGTAGAGAACAGGCAGCAACTTAAACATGTCTGCCACAGCTTTTGACTAGGATGGGTTTGTATTTCTTTTACTACTGTAAAAGCACTAGGAAGAAGAGATGCTCACACTTGATAAGCACTGTTTGATAAACAGAAACTCCCTCCAGCAACTGATTCACACCTGACAGATGTACATATGTATACTGAGAATAAGTGAGTCATTGGGTTCCTGGTTTGTGATTATCATAAATTTTCATTTTAATGTACATCTTTACTAAAAATAAGAGTCCTGTCTGGTTTTTTTTAATATGTACTTTCAGAATAATTACATTTTTAGGTAAAGCCTCCATTCTTTATGCAAACTATGGTTCACAATATTGAATAATTCTAAATATTTGAGAAACTAATACTGATAAAGTTCCTGATTATAAATTCTCTGCTCTTTTTAGAAGACTAACTAAACAATGTCCATGGGAATTCTAATGATGATTGTCTTAATTTTTCAGAAATTCTTTATGGCAATTTCTGCAATTATTAATGTCAAATGGTTTTCTTTAAAGAAGAAAACAATGTCACAACAACTAAATTTAAAATTTTAAATATAAGAAATGTGGCCAGGCTCCACCATCATTCTTTTTTTGCAGTTCTGAGAGATTGAACCCAGGACCTCATACATGCTACCCACTATAATTTTTGAGAACTAGACTCTCAAATTGATCCTGTCTCCACTAATGAGTAGAATAAAAGAAAGAGGAACTAGTATAAAAAGACACTGTACCTACAAAGTATGGGACAGTTGAGAAAATATTGTTTCAATAAGTAATTTGAATTTCCCCTTTCTGCAGTGATGAGTTTTGGGGGAAAATACTACTTGCTTGTATCCTAATGTTTTAAAGCTCTGTAACTTTTACATTTGCTAAATAACATACCTAAGATGGAATTGGGGGGGGGAAATGCCCCCCGAATTGAACATGTAACATCCCATAATGCCCTTATTGAACACATAAACATCCATTTCAAGGTTGTCATTAGTGATTATTAAAAAAGGGAAGAAATGTTGCCTAAAAATCTTACAAACTGCTCTGCCATTTACTCCTTTCCTAGCCTTACTCCACAATGTTGTCTGCATGCAAATCTAATATGTTGCTTTTCTTCTTAAAAAACTTTCAGAATTTCATTGCTGTCAGAAAAAGGCCAATATCATAAAGGCTTACAAGATCCTGCATGGTCTGGCCTCTACCTCCATTTCCAGCCTCAACTTCTTGTGCACCTCCATGTTCTCTGAACTCCACTGACATTGTCTTTCTTTCATTTCTCTTTGTTGTCCATGTGCCTCCCCACTTCAAGCCCAGAATTTCTCCCTGAACTTTTTTATCCCCTCTACCACCCACTCACATGATTATTCTACCCTTTTACCTAACTTTTACTAATTTTTCAAAATTTAACTAAGACATCACTTCATCAGTGAAAACCTTCCTTGTCTCCTCCAATTTGACATATCTATTAAAGCATATACTTCTCTTTTAGAACAATTTTCTCATTTGTTACTATTTTATGTTATTTGATTATTAATGTTTGATTATCTTTTTCTCTAGATTCTATATAATAATTTTTTAGTTTCTAAGATTCTGTTTTCATTCATTCAACTTTACTTTTATTTGTTAAAGCATATATTTTTGTCTTTAAGGTCTTAATACATTTCAAATTTTTTAAACTAATAGATGCCTTTAATGCCTAGATTCAAAGTAATAGTGAATTAAACCACCAGAGTCCTTCTAAAGAAATTAACCAACAGCAGAAGAGTTTCCAGCTAGTACCAATGACCTCTAGCAACTCTAAGTAGAACCATATTTACCAGTAACTTACCCAAAATGGATAGACTTTTTCCAATTTCAAGTTAGAACTGAGATTATCCAATTGCCTCTATCACTTTCAGAATTTTGAGATAATAATGGTTGTTATAATGAAATAGAAGGTTTGAATACTGTGCATCCTATGTGATTATCATCACTATACTGCATTAGGGTCACTTTCATAGTTCTTCATTTAACAAGGAATGATATCATTACCTCTTTGGCTACTGTTCTTTCTCTTTTTTATTTCATTTTCAAGTTTGACCTCTCCGCACTCCCAGAGGGAATTACTTCACTTAGGTAGACTCATGTGAGCATTAAGACTTTTTGTAATATCCTCTGGGAATCATTTACCTCCTTTACATTCAAGTTTGTACACACACAAAAGAAATATTTTCCTTAAGCTTACCTTCTCAGTTTTATTCGGGGTCACATTTCAGGCAGCATCAACATTCCATTCAGTGCTGCATTCACTACAGAAGGAGAGCTAACCCCAGGCCCTTACACCACTATGCTTCAGAACTTCAAGGGGAAGGTCATTGTCATCGTGGGACATGTGGCAAAGCATACAGCTGAGGTAAGTGTGCTCATAGATGTGTGTGTGTGTGTGTGTGTGTGTGTGTGTGTGTACTTATTTATCTGCCTGTTAGCTAGCCTGCTTAAAAAGCATATTTCTTCAGGAATTCATCATAAATGAAATGTTTTGAGGATCTTTCTGTATTCTTACATGTATGAGTTTGTCTGCCTTTATTTCAAGGCCTTCCCCCTGAGTTTTCAACATCAGGATCAGTAATGAGTTGAGAAAAATCAGAATGATAGCTGCTATGGGGTTTGGATGTTATTTGTTAAAGATTTATGTATTAGGAGCTTAGTCTTAGTTTGGGGCCTAGTAGAAAGTCCCTTGGTCATTGAGGGTGGGCCCTTGGAGGGGACTGTGGGATCCTAGTCTCTCATTGGCTTCCTATTTCGAGATGTGATCTCCTCCACACACATTCCTGGGACATTACCAGAACTAGCATTGTATTGTTTGGATGGTGAGCCTCCAGTTTTTTCATTACAGTGATGAAAAACTGATTAATAAAATATCATAGGTTTTACAGGTTTGGTATCTTTTTCTAATAGCTTTCTGAAGCTGTGAAAATGCAGCTTGCATTTCTTCCATTGGAGAAAAGCAGAAGGGCTAGAGTGTAGGCTCTGAAAACCAGCCAAGTGGAAGTTGTTGGATTTGGGAGTTTTGCTTATTAGAAGCTCAAAGCTTTTGATGAAGTATACCAACTTTCACATATGAGGAATACCTGAACAAAATTACCTGTTCTTTCATGGCCATATTCTAAGCAAATTAAATAAAGCAATGCATAGATATGAAGGCGAAAAATAATCACCTTTTTCTTTTTTTAAATAAAGTACATATTGGAGACTATAACGTGGCATGAGAGCCAAACAGACTAAAAGTAAATAAAAACACTGCCAAAGTACAAGTCCTTTCTTTAAAGGGAGGAAGGAATCTCTCCTGGGAAAGTAGCAGAGGTAGTTGCTCCCTAAAGGCAGCTTCTTCTCAAGAAGAAGGCCAGGGCAGGGCCTTTCCAATTTACCAATCAAATGAATCTTTCTATTTCCCAGGGCAGAGTGAATACAGGGACAAAAGAAAGGTCAGGAATATGCTTACAAAATATTCCTCATCAAAGAAATTAGGGGTAAAGATAAAACATTCCCCTCCAATGTACATATTCATTCATGCTGTGTGAGCTGAGCAAAACAGAAATGTGGTCACTGAAAACATAGTTGTATGAGGACTGGAAGACATTTGGTCTTAGAGTATTTTTTTTTAATAGTTCATAGGGTGTTTTAAATGTCCCCAAATCCTTATTTCAGAAGTGTAGTGCTGGCAGGACACAGTGGCTCATGTCTATAATCCCAGCTACTTAGGAGCAGAGATCTGAATGATCACAGTTCTCAAGGCTAGCATGGGCAAAAACTTAGCAAGACCCCATTTCAATCAATAAGCCAGGTGTGGGGTGCATGCCTGTCATCCTCTCTACCCAGGAGTGATAAACAGGATTAGAGTCTAGACCATGTGAAAACATGATACCCTGTCCAAAAAGTAAAACAGGAAAGACTGGATACATGGCTCAAGTGGTAGAGCACTTGCCTAGCCAGCTGAAGGCCCTGAGCTCAAACCCCAGTACCACCAAAAAAAAAAAAAAAAAAATTTCAGGACTAATAATAGCATTTACTTTGACATTAAATGAAGGTCAACCCTACTAAAGTATCTGAAGTATGGTCAATTAAGTAGTATCGGTTAAAAAGTAACTGAGTCAATATCATGTCATAAATCACACCTTCTATATAATTGTCTCTAGTGTCTAACAGAGAATATCAGAACACGCCAATTTCAGAGAAAGTCAGTATAGTAACTGGCCACTATCATACATAATTTTGTCAATGGGAAAATGTTATAATTAAAGCTATGATATCAATATTATTTTGATATAATTTGTTAAGTTATTATTATTATTAATTTACTATTACTGTACTGCTGGTGCTACATTGGTCTGTATTACAATGTCATTCCAATGAAAAATGTCAGTTCAATTATAAAGTATACCAATACATTCGTCCTACATAGAAATATTATTGAAAACCATGTATTTTTAGGATCCACATAATATGCAGATTTAGGGATAAATTCCAACAATGATAATAATCCCAATTATATGCTAGTAATATACTATGGTAAGTATATTACATATATTATCTCATTATATTCTTCATGACAGTTCTGTGAGGGAGGAATCATTCTATCTCACACATGAGAAAAACTTAGAATCAAAGTTTATCTAACATGTCCATGTCTAAGCCAGGATTGAAACACAAGTCTGTATCACCCTACAGACCATGCCTTTAACTCAGTGAGCTCATGAGGTTTTTGAATCTGTGTGCTGCCACATACACACACAGTAGTTCTTTCCAGTGTATGATTCCAAGACCACAAATAAACATTTATTCTACAAGTGCTTACAAACTTAGGGTTGCCATGTATTCTAGATCCCAGTTGCTCACCTAGTGAGGGCCTCTGATAAGTTATGGGAGAAAAAGGTATCTGGATATTTGTCCCCCTAGATCTTTCTCTCAAAAATAGATTGGCTGTGTCCCTCTACTGAAGGATAATACTTCTCTCCAGGAAGCCTTCTCTCTACAACTTTCAGATCAGCTCCTGGTTCCTTTAACTCTAGGGGTGGCAGCAGTTCTGCTTTTGCTAGCCATGGGTAACTACACTGTCCCTTATGGCTCTCTTCCATCCACCTACACTTTGGAAGTAACTGCCCCTCCCATTTATCCTAAGTGTTTGTTAGGACCCTGACTTCCATAAGAATAGTATTTAACATACATGAGTTTTTTGTCAGCCTAGATTAGTATCTCTATTATGTTTCTTAATTAGTTGTGTTAAATTGGGCAAGTATGTGACCTTTCTATGTCACCATTCATTTATAAAATGAGAATAAGCACAGCATTGATTTGCAGATTTTGGAGTAGGCATATAAAGTTTATTGAAGAGCCTGATAGTAGTTATCACTCAATGTCAACTATTAATTTTATTTTCAAGTTTGTTATTTGCATATATGTGAATTTAATAAATACTATTTTGTGTATAATTATAATTAAAAAGTTCTAGAGTTTGGGCAAACATCAGTGAAATTAGAGTATAAGCCACTCGACTTTCCTATCCCTCCACAGAAATATAACGACAAAAAAAAATAAACTGTACAGTCTTTACCATTGAATGTGATGTTTACTAAGTTTTTCATATATGGCTTTTATGTATTGAGGATGTCATTTATTTCTAGTTTATTGGGTATTTTAGCATAAAAAGGTGTTGAATTTTGACAAATGCTTTGTTCACACTAATGAGATGATTAATTGGTTTTTCACTTCCTTCTATTAGTGTGGTACATTATAATAATTGATTTTTGCCTATGCTAAATCTTGCATTACAAGCATAAGTTCCACTTGGTCATGGTGTATAATCCTTTCAATATATTGATGCATTCAGTTTCCTAGAATTTTCCTTAGGATTTCTGCATCAATATTCATCAATGTTATTAGTCTGTACTTTTCTCATCTGGCTTTGGTATTAGGCTAACACTTGCCTCACAGAATGCATTACAAAATATTCCCTCATCTTCAGCTTGTTGAAGGATTTTAAGATTTATGTTAATTCTCACCAGAGATATTAGGCAAGAAATATAAATAAATTTATTTAAATTGGAACATAAGTTAGTTTCCTAGGACTGTCATCAAAAACTGGGTGGCTTCAAACAGCAGAAATGCATTCTCTGATAGTTATAGAGGATATAAAACTAAAACGACGGTGTCAGCGCATGCATGCTCCACCTGCCTTCTTGCTCTTGCCCAGCTTCTAGTTGTGACCAGGAATCTTTGTTGTTCCTTGATTTATATCACTTTTTGACTCTGTTGTCAAATGTTGTTCTCCCTGAGTTTATCTGTCTCTGTGTCTTGTCTCTTCTCTTTCTTACAAGGATGTCAGTCATTTAGACTAAGGGCCCATTCTATTCCAGTATGACCTCACTATTGACACCTAACCTATTTCCAATAAGGTTACATTCTGACATTCTAGAAAGGACATAAATTTTAGAGGGACATTGTCCAACATAGAACACAAAGGAAGAAGTAAAGCTAACACTATAGATAACTTGAGCTTATGTTTGGAAAACTAGAATCCACTCAAACAACACATCTATTAGAAAAAATAAATCCAGCAAATTTTTAGAATATAAAATTAGCACACACACACACACACACACACACACAAAACATGCAAAAAATCTGTTTTATTTCTACATACTAACAGTGAACAATCCAAAAAGGAAAGTAAGAAAACAATTCCATTTATAATACCATCAGAAATCATTAAAATACTAAGGGCCTAAGTAAGATCCTCCAGGGATCATCTCCCCACAAACACACCAAGTTGAACAGCTATTCACATACCACACTACCTTCACAAGAGCTCAGGAAATAAGGTGTAAGTCAGTGGTGTAAGTCAGTGCTTGGCGAAGCCCCATACCCACAGACTAGCCACTGGAACTGCATTACGCCATGCTCTGATTGACCCCCTCACTACTCCAACCTTAGGGAGTAGAGAAGGGAGCAAGCCTCTACTTACTAAGGAGCAGGACATAAAAACCAGCACAAGATTTTGTTTAGGAGCTAATGCCAGACTCACTGCAATGAGACCCAGCATCCAGAAGATACTTAATACTTCATACACAGGTCATTGCTCACAGATTCTCTAGATTAGCCCCAGCATCAGGCAGACACTTTCATACAGAAGGAACAGATTTGCTTCAGCCTGTGTCTTTTCTACCCTATGGGTAAGCTTGGTGCTTACCCAAGCTTGGAGCACATCCATCCATATCCCAAGACAGTATTGACCCTACAGCTATGAAACTCAGGTGTGACCTAGCTCAATTCAGCCTTGTTGGTCAATGGACTCTCTCCACCAACCATCTCCCAACATCAGGCAGCACAGCTATTTCCAGGCCAGTGTTTAAAGAT